ATGCAGACCTCTCTGAGGTCTGGGCAGCTTTTTTTATTCGTGGTGAAGATCTGTACAGAAGCTAAACACTGGTCTGCTTCTGCGCTCTTGTCTCATTTCCCTGGGAAGAGGAGAAGCACGTTATGCAGGTGGAATAGTGACAACCACTCCCAAAATGCACACGGGTTCTGTTGTGCTGTTCAGTACATTTATTGCAGTTACTGTCTTGACAGAAGCTTGCAGACAGAAGTACAGCAACTTGCACCCTACGAGTCAGTAGCAAGGTACAAGGAGGTGCCAGTCAGCATCTCACCTGCCACAGGCTTGGTTCAGCTCTGCCATGGGAGCATGGGCAGCCTGGGGGGCTTCTCCACCTGTCAGCTAATATCACCTCTGCCTGAGGGACCTCCCAGTTCTGCCAGGACACAGTGTTCCCATCAGAGGGTCCAGCAATATCACCCAGCTGTGCTGCAGGATGCACCTGGGGGAGTTAGCCTAAATCCCTCGAGGAGGTGCCCAGGTTTGCCTGTTGTCTTTTTAGTTTGTTTTGATTTTTTTTTTTTTGCTTTCATGATCACCGAAATAACTAAGTGGATTGCTGGATGTTCAGCTCCTCCAAGGTTTTCATCATATGAAATGAAATGGAATAAAATAAAGCGTATAAAAGAAGTGGAATTCATTGGAGACTATCATAATGACCTGGAAGAACAGACACAAGAAAGTGAGCCTTGTTTAATGATTGCTTTCAGTGACAGCCCAAATTTTAATCAATTAATATATAAGCCCATTACTTGAAAGATGTGATGGGCCTGTGGGAGAGCATTCAGTATTTTTTCCTTTCTCAGGGGAGCTGCAGGGTATCAGCTGACATCTTGCTAGCACTCCTTCCTCACAGATGCTTTTAAAGCTGCTTTTCTGACTGCAAAAATCGTACTTAAGCCTTACACATGTATTTTGTGTATGCTCTTGGGTACAGTTTCATCCTGTGACCCCCTAGGAGACCTCATTGACCTTCTCACAGCTTCTTGAGCCCGAGGAAAGCTCAGTCAGCCTTTATATTGCCAAGCTTTCTTCAGCGCTACACTTAGGAACACGGAAACCAAATAGATTTATTGCTATAACTATAATCAGAAGTCATAGCCAGGATGATAAAATGGTCAAATGATCAAATTACTTAAAATTAGAGGAGTACTGAAGTGCCTTAGGGACTGAGAAGCTGCAGGCAGGCAGCTGGCCTGCCGGTCAGCCCCGTAACAGCGGGATGCATGTTTCCAGCCCCACACAGGCAGGGGGACCTGGGGGGACCCCGGGACCAGTATGGCCAACAACCAAAAGAGATGAGGCTGAGGCCACTCTGGTTTTGTCATTTGTGAAAGAATGAGCAGGTAATGGGGCAGATCCTGGACATGGCCAGGTTGTGGGTTGAGCATGAGAGGGGAAGCGCAGACACTGGGTGCTAGCCAGGAGCAGGACAGGATTTCTGGGCATGACAAGTGTTGGGGCAAGTCTCTCTTTGGGGTAAGGGATTCCTGTGTCCTGCAGGATCTGAAGTCTTGAACACTATTTGGACTCCCACCTAATGTATGCCCTTGCGTCCAAGCGGAGATGTCACAGTTTGGTTCTGCTTGTTGAACAGGAGACGGTCCCACTTCTGTGTTTTATAAGGCTTCAAGAAGTGAAGGCACCTTTACCTATGGCTATAAGATTTCATTTAAGCAAATACGTTAAGTGCTGTTCATTTCGTATTTGTTACATTGCCAGTGGATCCTGCTTAAGGATGATGTACACTCTGGCCACGTGTGCCTAGGCATGCACGTTCAGAGTAAATGCCCCGCCTTTTTCTCTATAATTTACTCTTCTGGACTTTGGGGGCTTGGATGAAAGGGCAGACTGCTTGTTCCTCTAGTTTGAAAAAACGTGTTTGAATACACTGTCATTTTCTCTGATAAGAGAGCACTATAAATTAAACAGAGTCAGCAACCCAGGCACATTCATCTTCCTGATGTAATCCTACCTTTAGCATTTCCTGACATATATTTGATGTTGACTTAATTGTGCAGCCTTAAAGTAGGATTTGAGTATATAAGTGCCCAAGCAGCAAGAAACTGCAGATCAAGCTAGAAGCTGTCCTCTGAAAACTGTGCAAGGGGCGGATGATGCACAGATCCTTACAGCAAGGAGATGGGGGGGACAAGTTTACTGTAGTGGTTTTTTACCGCCCATCTAGTCAACCCTGAAAATCAGGCTTCACACGGGAAATCCTTTAAGACCTGGGCATATAGTGTCATCCCAAGGTTGTCCCTTTCTGCTCTCCTCGCACACGAGAGCAATCTGGTACCAGCACAAGTAGCGCCCAGTCCATGGTGCTTGTGTGGTACCTCCTCTTAATGCAGCATGCAGCCACAGAGATCTTGCTTGGAAAGAAAGGCTGGTCTCGCAGTTAAGATTTTAGAATGGAGTTGAGAAAAATCTTGGTTCTCTTCTCACTTTTACTGAAGGAGGTCAGAAAAGTCATTTTGGAAGTCTGTTTTTTTGGAAGGTATCAAAAGATGCAAATAAATGCCTAATGGGCTCTGAAATGGTCTTTGAAATCAGTGGGAGATAGGACTCTGAGATTTCAGAAATCCCACGCAAAGCTTGCATGCATCTTTAAGCATCTAAACACCTTTAAAAATATGTCTCCTAAGCGCCTAACTCTGAGCATAGGTTCCTGCACCCCCTAAGCATTTTCGAAATTGCATCCAAAGTTGCATAGATTTCCCCTAAAGAGCACCCTTTTGTTTTAATTTTCTCGTTGACTTACTTTTCTCTTGACTTGAGACATAATATATATTAACCTACACTCATTTTTTATACCAAAAGATAGAGAAGTGAAGCTGTTTCTGAGCTGGTTTATTACAAAAAAGGAGCATATGGCTGATTGTGTCCCATCTGAAATGCAAATGGTGGAGCTACGTGGAAAGAATTGCTATGATTTCAGCAGTAAATGTTTCCTAATGAACTGAGTTTGACTAAGGTGGGAAGCTGGAAATGGCTGTGGGAAGAAATGACAACGGTTAATATTTCAGTGGAGCAGAACAGTCTTATTCCGCTGATAAGGAGGTTCTTAGGAAATTGACTGTATTTTTTTTCTTATATTCTATATGTTTGTCAGTGTGGGGAAATTTTTACACAAGGAGGCAGACTTTTTTCTTCCGCTAATTATGAAATCGTGTAATTTAATTTATAACCAGTGCTTTTCACCTTTGGCATCTTTTTGAGCTGAAGTTTTTGGTATTTTGTGAACATTTGGGCCAAATAGATCTACCCAATGTAAAGAAAGTCTAAAAGAAGACAAATACTGGTTCCACTCATTTACATCACCCTGGGCACATTTGTGGATGCCAGAGGCCAAAGAGGGTGATGGAGAAATCTGACCCACGCTGTCTAATTTCCCCTGCTTCTTCTTTCCACCAAGGTTTTTCTCTTGTATATACCCCTCTACACTTCCAGTGGTTGAAGGTGTCCAGAGTGGGAGGTGACCTGACTTAAACACTTTCTTAAGTCAAGCAGCAAGACTGACATTTCCATTACTTAACTTTCCAAAGGGAGAGCTGTGGAGTCGGCGCTGTGAGGTTCAGCGCAACCAGTGGGCTGGAGATAAGAGCATCGGTCGCATTACTTTGCCTTAAATGTCAGAAGGAGCCATGAAGAGTTTTAGGTAGCAGCATGTGCACAATTACGTGCTCAGAGGAGCTGAAGCAGCTGCCAGGTTAGACCCCTGGCTCTGCCCCTGAGCAGGATGGCATCGGTGTTAATGTAAGTGTTGCTGAGGCTGAGCTGTCTGTTGCGTGGCACGGTTGAGGCAGGGGGGACGACACACACGCGACACGGAAGATTAGCATGTCTTTCCCTTGCTGGTGCCCAAGGGTGTCTGACATTGTTCATGATAAAGAAACAGGAGAAACGTGGAGAAAAAAGGCTGCAGCCTGATGTTGGTGAAAGTAATTAGGCTGCTTCATCTTCTGAGCAATGGCAAGGCTTGCTGAGGTCAGGACGTGTCCACGTTAGTGTGTTAGTTCAGATCCGGACCAGACTTTTGAAGTGAATCCCCCACTGTGGTTTGGTTCACCTCTCAGGGCAGCCCAGAAGCTCACCAGCTGGGTCGTTGTGGCTCTGGAGATGCCCCTGAGCTCCCTGAGGACAGGGCCACTGCTGCCCTGCCCATGCTTGCCCACGCTCTGCTCTCAGCTGTGGGAACCTTCTCCCTGCACAGAGCACATCACCAGGTCAGGAGTGGGCACTGACCTTCCTGGCTGACACCCCGGTAAAGCTTTTTGGTTGCTGGGTTATTCGGATGCTTCAGAAAGTGCTTGTGCACAAAGTCTCTCCTAAAAACAGCATTGCCCTCGTTTTAATACCGAGCAGGCCCACTGCGTCCAGGAGCCAGGGGAGATGTCACCACCTCTAGGCACAGAGCAGAGTACAGCGGCAGTCTCAGTCTTGGCAGGTGGTTTTATCCCAGTAGGGTGAGATGAGGTTTCAGCATCACATCTTTTATTATGATCAGAGTGCCTATAGGTGCTGTATTTATTATCAGAATTAAATCATAAATCAACATAAAACCACACTTATGCAGTGTTGCATAGGATGGGCAGCACCTCAACAGAGGTGAATTTTGTGGCTTCCTTAATTGCAAGAGGGTGCAGCAGCTTGAATTATCTGTGTGTCTGCTTGGGTGTTCTTTGGTTTACAAGAAATTACAAGTGGTAATGCTGTGGCGTGGTTCTCCATGTATAACACTTTTTTTGTCTTTCCTTTTGCTTGCTTTTCTCTTCTGTGTCTCTTCCTTCTCCCCGCATTTCATTTCCATCCCGAAATACAAATGAACTCTTGACAGAACTTTCCACTTTCATTTTGTTGATTTGCATTATGGAGTCAGGAAAATGCAAACACTTTTATTTCCAAGATGTATTTATGATGTCATGAAAGAACTTTCTCATATTAGCCCCTTCTTTTTTTCTCTTTCTTTATCATTTCAGGTGTGTGTGCAACATTGACTGTTCTCAAACCAACTTCAATCCTCTTTGTGCTTCCGATGGGAAATCTTATGATAATGCATGTCAAATCAAAGAGGCATCATGCCAGAAACAGGAGAAAATTGAAGTCATGTCTTTGGGTCGATGTCAAGGTAACTCTCATAACAAAACTCATTTCAAAGAATGTTTTCAATTTTTGTTCCGGAAAAAAAAAGAACCAGGGCTGGCTTCTTATTTGGCACTTGCTTGCGTTTCCATTAGACTCTTGCAATTTATATTGTAGAGTGCAGGCTGCGTGAGTGGGCAGAGCCCCCTGTGGTACAGATGCCAAGTGAGGCGCAAGGAGTGGTGTGCGTAACCCTTCCCACACCCTGCCCGCCGCAGCCGGGGACCGTCCAGCCCTGCGCTGGTGTCAGAATCAGGCATCTGGATTTTGCCCAGAGCAGCTTGCCCAGAGCTCTGCCCTCCGGGTAGGAGTCGGAGCAGGACAGCAGGAGAGTCCCTCAGATACGTTTTGCCACCCAGGATGGATCTTCTGTTGCTTCCTTGCCTGGAGCAGCATGAAGCAGTCTCAGGAGGCTAAAGACGCGTTGCCAGACATGGTGCTGGTCCTTGTTTCTCATGTGACCTGTGCTGGGCCCTCCAGATGCCAAAGGTGCCTGGAAGGAAATTTTGTTAATAGCAGCAAGACTGTCTGTCTTTTTTCACGAATGCCATGCTGCTCTGTGCCCAGCTCATGGGCTACTACATCACCTGTAACCCTTGAGTTGACTTTAAAAACTCTATTTTGTTCTAAAATAAAAATGAAGAAAATTTGCCTTTAAATAGCTCCCATAAATAAAGTGTCTACTGAGGCTCAGACTCTTAATAGCTTTTTTCCCCTTAGCTTCTGACCTATAAATCCTAGGTACATCTAAGGCTGTACTATACAGGTGTATTAAACACATTCTAGTTTATTTCTATCTCTTTAAAGTCAACCACCCTACGTGGCAGTTCATTTCAGGGTACATATTAAAACTCCCCAATTACTTCAAATAGAGCAGAAATGACAACTCCTGCTTCATACTGATATATTTATCCCAGCTGCAATCTGTTATCACATATTGTTAGGAAAAAATGTGTTTTCTTAATGGAAGATGTTTCATGTTTCATTCCAAAAAGCTGGATCCTGCTGTTTTTCACCTGGCAGGCCCAGGGGAGCCTTGTAGCCAGCAGCAATGCTGTGCATGCAAGTGAAGTTACGTTTGCCTGGGCACTGGCTGCTGGGGCATAGTCTGTATCAAATACAGGCTGCCCAAGCAACCCGGCATATTTCTTTTCTACACAGATAATACCACAACAACTACAAAATCAGAAGATGGGCATTACGCAAGAACAGATTATGCAGGTACGGTTCCTATTCTGTGAGAATCGCAATTCGCAGGAACTGTGTAAGTCTCTTTTCTCCTCCGTTTGCTAAGGTGAGGTGTCCTCATCTTCTAGTGTGGTTTTCTTGGTTCCCTTTAAGAAAACACTGTCTTCGCATTACTCTTTCTTTTCCTAAAACCTCCCTTTCTTCTTAATAAATGGGCTTCTCCCATTTTTGTCAATGTACAGATATTCTGACCATAAAACACCTGTTCTGACGGTGGAAGTATTGTAAACTACTTGCCAGACTTAGGAGGCATTATCGAAAATATGGAATCAGTGCTCTAGATTATGCATAGTTTTGTCATGATATACAGGTTTAAGAAAGTGAAAATCCAGAGCATAGCATAGCACAGCTGTGATACCATGAAACGGTGCCATAATAGATAATATCACCTGTCAGTGTTTAACTATGAAGTTAATAAGGTTCTTAACATTTTTTTTAAAATGATAAATGGTTTTAATTTATTTAGAAGCTACAATAAAATATAATGCCTGAATAGCTTTATATGGTGTTTGAAATTAAAAACATGTAAATACTGGCAAGGTTTGGGAGACATTTTTTACACCCTTTGCCTGGGAGGATTGATTTAGGAATTGAATGTGTGTGTGCACGCACACATGCATGCAAATATTCACAGCTCGCACTGAGAATTCAAGCCTCTGGGAAGGTATTGTGGAAATGGGTCAGGTGATGCATTCATTGCTTAAATTTGTGATATTTTTGTGGTTGGAAAGTATTTAGAGAGAGTAGGTGCAGGTCGCTGGGTTTACCTGAGCGGCTTGCTGCATGGCTTAGGTGAAATCCAGCTGATGGTTTCACAAGTCTTAACATTTCTTACTGGGAGAGTCCTCTGGCATTAGTTAATTTGGCTGGTCATCTCTTGCGACGGCGCTTTGTACGTGACCTCCCTGTGTTAATAGGGTACCCAGCCGTTAGAAATTATTGTTCTGTTCCCTACTTAGAAATGGTGCGTGATGATTCAAGCACAGAGCTATGGATAAATGATGTCTCGGTGAGGCAGAGGAGTGCTAGGTGTCGAGGGTGGCTGTGGCACGAAGCAGCGAGGGTAGAAATTTCTATGGAAAGTAAATGCTGGAATTAATTTCCAAAAGATTGAAGATGAGCCATGGTCCAGATATTTCCTACTGCCAAGGAGCCCTTCCATGGGTGAAGAGAGAGTCATGCAAAGAGAGAAAAGTCTTCAGTCTCTTTCCCCCAAACCCTTGATTCCTCTCAGCTTTTTTCTGGGAGGCAGCAGTCAGTTTTCTTACAAGGCTGGAAGGCCTGAGGTCATATCCTGTGGTGTGCAGGAGATACGGCCAAGTAGGCCAAAATGATTTATTTTAAGTTAGAAATAAGGGCAAGTAATACTGTTGTGTTAAATCCTTTATCTTCCTTGCTGGAGAGCTGCGGGGAGCACTGGCATCCCCAAGTCAATATGAAGGCCTGCAGCCCCTTTTTAAACGTTGTGCAACCTGTCCTGCTCTGCTACTGTCTGGTGGTTCAGCTTTAGGATGGCAGCGACCCACATCACCTAGAGAGGAGACAGCATGTTTAAGCATGAAGCAACTGCGTTGTAACAAGAAGGGAGGAAAGGCAGGCTGAAGATTAGGGAGGAGGAGGGGGAGGTCACAGCAATGACAAGAGAAAGCCAAGTCACAGGTCACAGAGGAAGAGGCGCACAGAAGGCACCTTCAGCTCAAGTGGGCAGGAGGAAGGGAACAGCTCTTGCTTAGGAGAGAGATGATATTTTAGCCCACGTGTGAGAGGAGAGGTGGTGGGTAGTTGAGAACTGATTGCAGCAGAACGTCGGGGGTTGGCAGTCGAGCAGGGAACGCAGAAGGAAACTGGGTTACTGGGCAGGGAGGAGGGCAGAGCTGGGGCACGGAGGAGTGGGTCTGTCTGTAGTGGAGATGGCCTCCGAGTGCTGAGAGGTCAGAAGGAGTTCGGGAACATGGTCCAGCGGGAGGTGACAGGAGCCTGTGGAAAGGAGACCCCTCCCTAGAGACGTGGGAGGGATGAAGACATCCTGAATGAGCTGTGAGGTCCAGTATGTACCTCTTCGGCACAGAAAGACACCATCATTGCACCTTAGCAAGCAGCTCCTCAAGCCTTCTGGTATGACACAGGCCCCAATGGGCTTCTTGAGGGCAGTGACTCTGTCCCCTGGGTGGGTCTCATCAGGTACCATCTATTGATTTAACCTGAACCACAGTCGATTGCGCCAGCTGATGTCATCTTTTTGTGCTCCTAACTATTATTCTTACTTAAATTTTTCATTTTTACATATGGTGACAGCATGTAGGGTAGAAGTTGCAAGTTCGTGCAGGGCAATCCACATGTCTCCAGTGTCCCCAGACGTTTGTGGAATAACCCTGCTGGCATACCCTAGGGAAAAGGGACCGCTGTATCCAAAAGCTGTAACAACTCCAGCCTTTCGGAAATAGTTGGTGAAAAAGAAGAAAGCAGTATAAAACTAAGGCTCGGTGAATATTCAGGCTTCAGTGTTAGACAGGCAGGAAGCTCCATGCCGTCCTCATGTTCTTTCAAGTGCAGAAACATTTGATGATGGCTATTATAGGAATGTGATATGTGCTACTTTTTTCCCACCTTCATGTCTCCTCAGAAGGGAAATGCTGCCCTGTCCATGGGGAGCTTTGTGTGAAAAAGCAGCAGTTCCTCAGTCGTTGTGCCTCTGAAGCAATTTCCCCAAGCCTGTGCCTTTCCAGAAAATACCTTTGTTCTCTGCCATTTAATGGCACTAAAGATCGCCGAGACCATGAGCACTACATGCTTTTAAAAACACTGACTCGTATGGACTGACTTTCCCAGGGGAGAAAATAGCAGTGGGCATAATTGATGTTGTCAATTATGCTAATGCAGCAGTGCCAAATGCTCTTTGCGGAGACTGTGGTAGCTGAGTGGTGCGGGTTTTTCCATAAACACCCCCGCACGCTCAGTGTGGGGTCCCAGGAATGCAGCAGCTTTGCGAACAACCACAAGTCCCAACACCCAGCTGATTTTTTTCATATTGAACTATTCAAACTGTCTGTTCAATCAGTGTCTTTGCTCCCTCCTCCTGTTCTTTCAAGCCCATTGATCCTTGCAAATAAGGAACAAATCTTTCAGTTTGCAAAACCGAGAGTGCTCGTTCCTTTGGAAAATAAATCTTTGCATTAAGTTTACATTGCCTTGGTTTTTTAAGGGCTCTTACTTTACACAGGCAAGATTTCCTCTAGCACTGGAAATGCCCGACTAATGTCAGAGACACCCGAAAAGCAGTGTCCTCTTTTTCAGCAAAGCAGACATAGGGACGGTGTGGCCCTTCTCTGATGGTGTCCACCTCTCCAGGTTCACCAGTCCACTCTTGCCTTGGCTGCATGTGCAATGCATGTCAGCACAGAGTCTGTACGCGCGCATGTTTGCATCTCTCTGTGCAATTCTGGCCTCTCATTTTTCTGAAACCCCAAAGTATTTATCAGAGTTGGGGAGGATTTTCACTCTTCTCAACAAATGGCAGATTGTTGATGTTGATGAAGTTTGTGAAATAAGATTTGGGTTTAGTCAATAAAAGAATGGGTGGAATTTTTCCCTCAAATCCAATAGAAACACATTTTATCTTGCAATTTCCGTGAAAGAGCATTTTAAAACATTTTAAGTGCAATGTATGTTTTGGAATGTAGTGTCTGAGCTGGAAGTCCTGTGATTGATGTTTTCTTGAATTTCCCCATTATATGCGTAAATAAGTTGGCTGTTTCGGTGGCATTTTTGCATTCAGAGTCTAGGCAATCAAGGAGTTTTCATCTTGTTTATTCATTTGCCTATTTATTTTTATTCTTCAATATTTATATTCCCTTCTTAAGATCTGGATATTAGCAATTATCCCCCTAACTGATTTTATCCTTTCTCATTATCAAATTACAGAGATTTTTTTCAAGCCATTTTGAGCACTATAAAGAATAAGTCACTATGGATGAGCCATATTTCAATGTTATATATTCATGAAAATTGTCAGCGAAGACACTGACAAATTTGATAGACCTATTCAATAATATCATCTTCCAGGCCAGACAAACCTCCCTATATGAGCATTGATTAGATCAAGTCTCAGCAGCTGAACGCCAGCAGTGCAAGTGAAGCTGACAGAAAGGGGAAGAAGGCATTTTCAGCCTTGATAGTCTCCTTTGGTGAAAAATGCGCCTCTGCAAATGGTCAGTTTGAGCCATATGTTTGGGTTCCTCGGCGGCAGTAAACCCTCCCTTGGCAGCTGCCTTCTGCAGCTTTGGCTAGTCCAGGGGCTCTCTTGCAGGCAGTGCCGTGGCCCCTCTCGCTGATGCTGTTGCTGTGCCAGGGAAACACTAACGAGCACAAAACGCTGCACGTCTGCTCATGGCTGCTCTGTTCCCCGCTCTCCCCTCTGGTTTCCCATGGGAGTTCAGATCTACGCGACAGCCTTGGATCTTTTTCAGACCACTTTCTGGCACTGGAGCCTTCCTGGCACTACCGGAGGTGCTTGGGCAAGTAATCCAACAGATGGCTGTGTTGCCCAAGCAAACGGAATGCTCCACCAAAAAGGGGAAATTCCATCTGTGTCAACACATCATCTTGCCTTGGCTGGGCCAAGGCTGTGGGATGAAGGCCATGGGAGCCACCACAGATTCCCTACTCTAAGGATAAAGAAGAGTCTTGGACTCTTCAGATAGTCTCTTCAAAAGTCCAAGAGTCTTGGAATCCAAAATAAATACAATGTAATGTTTACGTTTGAGAAAACTGTCCTAAAACTTTACCAAAAACCCGCCACTTTGCATCATTAACCTCTAATCTCTTTGAACGGGAGAACAAGCCGTGCCTATCAAAGAAAATGTGGAGAACTGGCAGCGCTGTACTGACCCAGCGCATATGAGAAGCACTGGGGTGTGCTGCATCCCTTTCTTCACAAGCTCAATACAGAGCCCACCAAATTCATTCACCGTTGT